GTGAACGCGAGCAAAAACGCGGAAAGGGCGGTGGCGTCGGTGAGACGCCGCTCTATCGACACGTGCAGTCGTCGCCAAAGGGTGCGAGGGAAGAACTTCTCGTGAGCCACCTCGTCACCCGCCCGCTGCCGAGGGGGACTTCACACACAAAAATAAAGTGTACATCGTCAAAACAATCAGAAAAAACAACACAATTTAAAATCAGAAAATATTAAAAATTTCAAAAAGGCCAAAACGAAACAAAATAAAAGTAGGAAATCGGAGTAGACTGAAATTTATTGTGAATAAGCACCCCTCGTCCGCTGCCGCTCATTACCATACGCGTCACGCCCCCCTCCCGCGATCATCAGAGCGCACTCACAGCTGAACCACGACGGCGCATTAGGGAGGCACCCTCGGTACACACACATCGAATCAAAGACACGAGTAATTTGGATGTTGTTGTTTTTTTTTTTTTCCACTCCTCCTCCTCCTCCTTACCGTAGCTTGCGTGGGTTGTGTTATCCATGTCGGCCCGCGCCCGCGCTACGCAAAACCATCGAGGACTACATTACGCCATCTCCCCCTGGCTGCCGCTTGCTGCCGCCCGGCTCGGCTCGGTGCGCGCTCATCCGGGCCCCGGGCACCCGGGCATGGGGGCCGCCGCCGGCGCAATCGGCTGGGCCCCGCGCGTCCGCCGAGCCGCTCTGCACGACCTGTTGCTGCGAGCGTCGTCGGGGACGTGCTGACGTGCACCCGGGGCGGCTGTCGACACCGGGGTCCTGGTGGCTGCAGTGGTGCACCCTCACGTATCAGCGCTGTGGCGGCGGGGCCGAAGGCGACTCCAGAGTCGCGAAGGTCCCGGACACTTCGCGTATCGGCACGACGACGACGACAACGATGACAACGACGCGATGTTGTCACTTGTCACCGAGACCACGGCAGCTGACGCCTTAATTAGTATCCGTAATATCCAAAGGGGCGCACAGGAGGCAAGGCAGGCACGTCACAGATGTCCAGTCCACAGCACACACGCACACACGCGCACGCACACACGCACGCGCGAGCCCACGGGTGCAGCCGAGAGCAGCGCGGGTCAGACGGGGGGCGCTGCAGCTGGTCGCGTGCCGCTGCGGGGAGTCTGTGGTATACTGGCGCCAGGGCGGCCAGGAGGGCGCCGGGCGCCGCCAGCGCGGCCCGCCCCGCCCCCTGACGCCCCGCGCGCCACGCCCCGCCACGCCGCGGCAGGAAGGGAGGGAGGAGAGGGAGGATGTCGGCCCAGCCCGGCCCCGCCGCAGCAACAGTGGCAGGGCTCCCTTTTGCAAACACACGCCCCGCCCCGCCCC